TCATCACCGTCCTCTCGTTCATTATGTTCTCGTCTTCAGTGATGACCGTCGAACCCCTCGCACACCCGCGCAGGGATTGTCGAAATTTCTTGACGAGTACTTTTCCCATTATGCCGGTCTGATAGCCTAGTGGCTGCCTACCCAGCAATTGATGATTGGCTCTAAGTAATCTTTTTGTTGGTGCCAACATGCATGACTCCCTTTAAGCTTTCTATCGAGGCTGTTGGTCTTTCACGCGGGCCCTACTCTTCCCCAGACTTGAGGCTTATACTTAGACGGCGATAGTGTTATCGACAAGGTCAATACACCAGTGACCAATGTCAGCATATGAAACTCTCCGGCATTCGTTACGGTCAGATAGCTTAGTCGTTACTGTATCAGGCCGTAATGGGTAGTACAAGGAATGTTCTTTTGCTGTTGACAATCATTTGGGAAAAAAGGCAGCTGAGCCCAAGCCTTATTGCGTGTCGTGCTCAGTTCCTGCAACTGTGGTATACATTCCCAACCACGGTTAAGGAACTCAATGGACTCTGTCTAGTCAAGAATCAATTCTGGATACAAGAGGACGAGTCACGACACGGCGAGGAAATGTAAATCGAGCCCGTATCCTGTTTGCGGCGCATCTACATGCCCGAAATGTGGATAGCAAAAGACATAGCGGATCTTTTGTTTTGGCATGTAGCAGCTTAACACGTCAGATAAACGGCCACAATCTCGTTCACCGCATCCTACTCCTTGCACTTCCAAAGTCGAGTGTTAGGCATGAAAAAGTTGATGCACATATACTAGCTAGATCTAATGGTTCTGGTGGTCTGGGAAAAGGTTAGTACTAAGAACGAAGAGGAAGAGGATACTTACGCTGAAGGAGACTCTGTATCGAGAGGTCCATGTTGGCGCGTCCGAGACCACGGCACAGAGGTCTTGATCTCCTTTCTTTCAGCACACCTCGTCGTGCAATATCTCTCCTGATGTCGAAAGGAGCCCTAATCCACGGGGTACAGGCAAAAAGCGCCAGGTCCTCTTTCGCGAGAAATAATAGCTCACCTACCAGCAATTCAGCCGCTGAACAGGGTGAAGGAAACGAATGGAACCAGGGAGGAAGAAGTTGATGTTGAACTTGCAGCAAGCGCCGCACGCCGCATGTCTTGGTCCCGGTTTGTAGACCAGAAATTGGGGCGGCACAAGCACTGGTCCGAATCCTGCGTACCTCCTTGTCCAGCGGCGGGTTACTCAAACGAGTCGGTGCTTCGCCGAGGGACTTCTCAGTCTCCCTACGTCTTCGCTATCCGTGTCTCACTGCTTCCTTTGACCGCCCGCCGTAGTCACTCTCGGAGTAACATCAGCTTTTGTTCAACAGCTGAGTTGTACTGTATGTCTGCACGAACATCAAAACTGCACCATCCCAGCGCGTTCATGTGGAGAAGTGGCGCGGACACAATGAGTAGATATAGGAGAGAATGCTCAACTGTAGAGATGGATGTCTGCGCGTAGATAGACCTGAGCGGACGGGTAAGGCGAACTAACACCTGCTGAAGAGGGATATACAAAAGGGACACCCATAGTCGTAACGTCGGGAGCAGACATAACGCGAGCGACATGATATCATGGCATCCAGATATATTTCGAGCACGACTATACCTCATGTAGGCTGTAGAGTATTAAAGTCCTATGTCGGTACCCACACGTATGCTGGAATTAGGCATAAGCATAGTCGATGAGCGCTGAAAGATCACGTACCCTGCCGAGGCCTGTGGTAACACCGCTTCATCTCGAAGGTATCATGACGGGAAAGGTTTACATTGTTGTGCGGCCGTGAGCGGATCGTCGTCGCGGGTGAGTGGCATTGTGGTCCTTGACTAGCGTCCTCAGTACATTGTGTGTACCGCGCCTGGCAGGGACCCGTCGTCGTAGTCGTTCCACTCCGCGCTGCTCCAAGTGTGCTCCCTAATGCGTGTTGGTCCTCGTCTGTCGGCATAGTCGATCGTTCAGAAAAGAACCATGTTTTCAGCAGTCAAAATTCTTATGTTGAATTGCTCGCCAGCACCGAGAGCAGCAAGTTGCGGACGGATGATGAGGGAAGACGAAAGCAGAATCGACTTCGGAGTTTGAAATGGTACGGCCCCACCGCTGACGGCTCTTAACTCCTCTCTAGTCATAACGCGCACGCTTCTCTCAGCCTCGCCTCCAGCGCGTACGTCCTCACTTAAGGGATGGCGGCTAGTTCGACGGAGTGCTCAAGAATTCCTACGGGCACTAGGCGGCGGGATGACCAACGCCGGCTTATTGGAGTACTTGGGCGACGAACCGACTGCTGAACGACGGGATTTGGACCTGTCTTTTGAGCGCGTACCGTGAGCTTTTCGGTTTTAGACATACATGCATATTCAGCGTGCGCAACGTCGACTTCTTCCCCTACATCCTCCTTCCTATCGCCGCTTCTCTGAACTTGAAATGGACCATTCTCCTCCTGATTACTACTTACGATGCAGGTCGGATAGCTCAGCGGCTACTCTACCTAGTAGTAGGTATTGATGTCATCATTTTTGTTTCCAATGCATACCTCGCGTCACCCTCTTGTCGATAGCTATCTTCTTTGTTGTGCGTTCAACCGGGTCGAGGCGGACTGTGTCCCGGTCTTCTTCAGCATTCCTTCTCACTGGGCTTCTTCTCTACCTCGTTCTTGTCTCCTTCATTCTTTATATCCTTCTGCAACATGTACCATTTTCCTCCGTCGTTCTTCTCCCGGGCCGTTGGACTCACCCTCTTCAAGATGGAATACAGAACCCTCACAATACGTCTTCTCTTCGTCCAACCTGGGTTTGAGGTCGAGACTGACGCGCACAGCGTTGGGGTAATGCATCCCAGATAATTCCGTATCAACATCCATGCTCGCGGTCGGATGGCGTAGCCGTTATCACCGTTCTAATAGACCAGCTCGAGTGGCAATTTTTGCAATCACACGACGGGTCTACTTGAGTCAAACTGCCTTGTTCGTACTCGCTCGTGTGCCCAGATAGCTCATCGTGTCTGGCCATTGTGCGGTTGCCGAGACGTCTTTTTTCTGCTTCTTACGCCTCACAACCTGACTGAGAATAAGTGCAATCCCCCTTAGACAAGTCCTCGCGGCTCCCTATTCCTCACTCCGACGACGTATCCTTCGGGTCCATGACTCTCATTGCGACTACGGACACAACTTCATCTTCGCCGTCTTCCTCCTCCGAGTTAACTGGCTCCTCAGGGCAACAACCTCTCCACCTCGCCACCAAGCCTCACACTTACTGACACCCACCTCAGTGGTTACAGGTCAGCGAGGAGGACGTCTTCCGGGAGGAGCATGCCGAAGAAGTCGCTTGTAGAAGAGGACCTCAAAGGAGGAAGAGGATGCCACAGTGCATGGTCAGAATATAGAAAGAGCTACGGGTGCGTGGTGGCCGTACCCCCGGCGTCTCTCCCCGCGTCTACTCTTCAAAGCTTGCCTGTCTGTCGCGCGCACGGTTTTATCTTCACACGCGCTCCTCCGGACGCATCCCTCATTGACGCACGCGTCCTCGTCTCCCTCTCTCTCATCCCTTGCTCGTCTGTGTCGCCCTCTCTTACCCTAAATTATCTATGTGCACGCTGGCACAATACAAGCTCTCGTTATATGGCCAGATGCCTCATCGAGTTTGGCTATCTATCTGCGTGTGCGAGGCAGAATTTTTTCCCACACCCTCAGAATGCAATTGGACGTTACGAACAGGATTTGCAGTATCAGACTGTGGGCGCTTAGCTGAGAAGCTAAGGAGCTGAACGTGAGTGGGCTTGTCAAGTTTTTCGTGATACGGAACTTGATGCGCCCCGACAGCGCCCGTGAATGGGGCGCAGACTTGGCGATAGTGGATGCTGCAGTCGCATCAAAGGGTACTATCCTCAGCGCCGTCTCATCAGCCTCACCTCATACTGTCTTCTTACCCCTCGCGTTGACTCACTCGTCGTCCCACTTTCACGACTACTACTCGGCCCCAACTGTGGGTCGCATAGCGTAACAGCTATCATTCCCTCCTTGCATTGTATATGATTCCAAGTTTTTCGTGGCTGCCGACATGCATAGTTTCTTTTGAGCTTTTTACCAATGTTCGCCTTTCATCGGGCCCTAGTCTTGCCCGGAGAGGCTTAGACTGGGACGAGGTCAATATACCCGTGACAAAGGTCAGCATATCTGATTCTTCGCCATCCCGCACGGTCGGATAGTAGCTCACTTGTCGACCGTGATGTCATGAAAAGTGGATCCATTTTTATCGATGATGACTTTCGTTAGGTCGCTCGACGCTTTCACTTTCGAGCGTGTTGTGTCCATTCAGACGACGTATATACACTCCCAACCGTGGTCACGTAGTTCAGCCTCAATTTATGTGTCACTTCATGCATCATGCATTCGACTCTCGTTTTTCCTCGCCTCTCTGGGTATGGGCCAGAGTTGATACACTATGCATTAGTTTTTATGTCAGATTGCCAACTGCGGAAAGAACAAGGAAAGAAGAGCAAGAAGTTGTGAGATGGGAAGGCAGTCGATCGTGAAATCAACAAAAAAAAAGATGTTCACTCACGAATCCGACTAAAGATGACCACATAACATCTGGGCTACGTGGCCACACTCCTTGACCATCGAGGATATCCAAGGTCGGATTCTGAGGGGATACTTGGGCAAAAATTACTATTTGGCAGCCACTCAATGCATGCACAGCCAGACTCGTAAGGCAGATATCCGGCCATACACGACATACCTGTGCATGGATGACCAAGAAGATAAAGAAGAATGTCAATGATGTTCGCAGTGCGAGAGGAAGAGACACACGGAAAGCCAGTACCGAAGCACTGAAGCAACTTGATGTTTCTCATGTCAGTCTCCGTGAGACAGAGTGCTGAGCGCTGAGTAGTAAGTACTGAGTGAGTGCTCATTGTCGTGATTGAGAAATTGACAGGCAAACGTTACACAAAAAGTGGAAACTGCAGCCTAACACCTCTCTGGCTGGGAGTCGAACCCAGCTTTCGCGCGCAATGGTTTAAACGTTCCTATGAGGATGACAGGCGCGTGTACTAACCGATATACTACCAGAGATGCACCTTAACATTGTCAAGCTGATGCTCGGATTTCAGATGCGAGTTTGCGTTAGAACCCATGGCAAGTAACATCAGGATTGCTCGAGATTAATCTTTTGATTACTCAAGGCCAATATGAGGTACGCCTTTTCGCTTTCCATGCTCACAGCATCCTCACCAACAGTACTCATTACAGATCCTTCGGGTCTAAAATGCTGTACTTCTGGTTCGTTACCCGCCGGGTCGCAAAATGAACCAGGTGAGACTCTTCTGCCTCCGGGACGTTATCCTCGCTCACCGCGAGACTTTGACGTGGTCAGCTCTCAGCGCCACATCTTTTTCTTAGGTCGATCGTTTATTTCCATACCTGGCGGGCAGCTTAGGTATGCAGCCGAGGATGTCTCGCATCCCTCAGCTCTTACTGTGCCCCGCCAGGTGCGTTCTTGTATTTATTCTCTTAGGCTCAGTCTCTTACTGTTTCACACCAGTGTTGTATTCTCGTCGATTGCGAAATAAATTTCCATCTAACGACTCATACGATTATGCCCGGACATGCCGAAGGCAGCAAAAAGCGAAAAGCCGGAGACTGTTCTATCCCTGACATCCCTGACTCAGAACTCACGGAGGAGCAGTATTGCGAAGCTGTACGGAAAACCCTCGAAGAGATCGTCAGTCGATACCGTGAGGGACGGGCGTCCAAAGTTGACATTCAAACCACGGTCGTTGCCTACATCGGCGGTGTTTCCGAAGCCGGGACTGTACGACTTCAGCGGACGTAACGAGCTCAAGCCGTGGTTCGAGCAACTCGAGAGCGACGCTAGACGTCTCGAGCGAGCCAAGCAACGAGGGAAAGAGTTGGGAAAGTCGCGAAAAGATGACGACGACGTATCCGGAGGAGAAGAGACCGTCGACGAGGAAGAGGACGGTGATGACCACGAAGAGAGTGTCAAACCCGGAGTTAAACGCAAACGGGCAGAGACACCCAATTCCCCAATAGTTCGCTCTCAGAATATGAGA